AGAGTTCCTTGGACATCAGTTTAATCCAAGTTATAAACGTGCTACTAACAGTAGCAGATTATATTTGAAACCTGAAAGCCAGATCATCAACAAGTAATGCCAAACGCAACTTCATCAAACACATAAGGAGCTCCTGCTGTGGTGATAGTTTGCGAGCTGGACCAGATAACCTCTACCAGCAAACAGTTGAAATGGTGTTTTTGGAGTCGCGGTTGTTTCATTTTGTGTCTGTGTGGGTCCACGCCAGTATTGCATATTACTAGCTTTTGGCAGCAAGTATTCAAATACACACTTAAAACTGTTAGTCGATGGCAGGCCGGTGTGAAACCTTACATCATACTCTCTCGTCAACTGTTCAAATTCCAAAGGGACAGGGAGTAAAGATGCCTCAGATTTTGCTGGATTTCCATCGAAACTTGAATGAGAATCCTCGGTTTTATAGGCTTGATGAGGACGCTTTGATGTCGTCCATGTTTCTCTTCCTTTACGTTTAAGCGGAGTCCTCGATTGCTCGTACTCTGATAGCGTAATAAAAACGGAAGGATTATCCGTTTCGCGGTTATTTGGGGTTCTTCTTCCCAAGGGAAAATGATTTGAGCAAACGAAAGTACCTTGTGCACAAGGCTTTGGGTTAAAGTCATCGGCTCTGCTGTTTGCAATTTGTTTTCGCCAAATTTCAGCAAGTGCTTGATCTTTGGGCCACTTATGAAACACTAACTTTTCTAGGTGAGACCTCTTAACTTGATAATCAGGATAGCGTTTATCATTATCGCAATATCCAACTGCACAACGCGCATTTTTTACCATTTCGGCTATGACTGCTTATGGCTACTCGGCTAGTTTAGGGTTTAGTTCGTTTGACTTGGCTTATGAGTTCCACACATTTGCGAACTCAAGAACATCGCTCAAACGACGGACAAGTTGTTCAAAGAAAACAAATGTTTTCTTTAACTTTCCGCTTTTTGATTACCACAAAATTGAACTCACGTGTATAAAAAATCGCAAATAATAATGCTACTATTAAAATGGACGAGTTTGAGAAATATTTTTGGAAGAAATGGCCAATATGTAAAAGGTAATTTTTGCGCATTTATTATTAATTTATATGGCTCATTGCGTGACCGCGCGCTCGGCCCAATGTTTTTGCACCCCCTGCAATATGGCTACGATAACCTTGAAAAGGTCTAATGCTGTGATCTGTTCAAGGGGGTTTGCTCGAAGTTGGTATACCAACTTTCTAATGTAAGCCGTTGTCTATAGTTAGTGCTGTAAGTAATGCATTTTGCCGAGTCCCAGTCAATGTTGTGCTTTGTGATTCGGTGATGTTCGACAATGTAGTTCGATTAGTTTTGTCTTGTTTCTTAGTAGCTGGTTTGTGTTCAGTAAGTCTTATGTTTAAGTTCCAGCCAGTTTCCCCGATATAGGAGGATTGGCAGTCGGAGCAGTTTATTTTGTTTATGTCCCTGATTTGTTCGTTTCGTTGGGTTCGTTGGGTTTGTAAGTGTTGTGTTTGATGAAGTCAGAGTTATAATTGCTTTTGTCAAAAACACGTTTTTCATAGTGTTTTACACAACTATCTCAAATTTTTTCGCTTTTTTATTCCTTTTACAAACTTCTGATTAAAACAAAATTTTTATGACATGTAGAGGAAAACCGGTAGAGAGTTTTAACCCTGAAGCCTCGTTTTTTTGGCTTTGTAACGACTGAAAAATAAGATGGCAAGTTGTATTAAAGCTTGGAAGTTGAAGGTGACGAGGACAATTTCAGCTGTGCGAAGCATTTTTAGAAGATGAATACTTAAATTACAAATTTACATCAAAGTAAGAACAAAGGCATTCATATCTTCAACATATTCATCGATATTGAAGTTGTTCACATAGGAACTGGTTGAAAACTTTGTTTCGCATAATTTGATGATGTACATCCACAGATCTAATAATACACTAGATAGTGCAACGGCTTACATTTCATAAGTAGTGGTTGAAGCCGGGCAAATTTACTTCCGGAGCCCCAAAGTAGTGAGAATCGATATGGCGTTGTATTAGAAAATATCTGGTCAAAGCTGATATCTTGCAATTACTTGCAAGTCACGACGGTTACATAAACTGGTTTACTCTATTAATGAAAAAAATTAATGTGACCATAGTTTTTCAAGAAAAAGATAGCAGAATACGCCAATACATCGCCGTAAAATTGATTTCAAGTGTAGCTCGATTTGAAAGCATCAGCAGCGACGAAGGCTTAAGATACTGGAATTTGCACATCTAAATATCGTATCACAGCACAATCTGCCACAAAATGTTCAATCGAACGTCGTAGAATTATCTTCCGATATTTATTGTTAAGTAAAACGAGTTGGAGATTACAGTTTGAAAGATTTTTCACGATTTATATAAAGTATATTGTTCACTGTACATAATTAAATATTGCACTGGATTATTGTACCAGAAATGCATTTTTCTGGTGTTTCTGGTCGGCAAACGAATATAGCTATGTCAAGATGTGAGTAATTAATACGTTCAGAAATTATTTACAGAAAGAATGTGAAGAGTCTACCTCGAAGAGTCTATGTCTTGCTTGTCTATGTCTTGCTTGTCTTGCTTGTCTATGTCATAGAGTCTGTCTTGCTTCTTCGGAATTTGTTTTATATTATGAGTCTACCTCTGTTACACCAAATGTTTTGTGAAGTATAAAATAGCAGGTCACTTGTGAAACTGTTGATACCACAGGTTGATACAATATACTCTGTCCAACACGGGGAAATATTTACTTGTTAAAGCAAGAAAAGTCACCAGACTTGTAGTATTGACTGTGTTTTACACATATATATAAACAATGTATTGTCATAGTCTAAACCAGTGGGTTATATGGCCAGTGCCCACAGTGCTTAATGTACTGTTATGGTGATGTTATGCTACTGTTTTCAACATTTTTATTGTCTTTTTTACCATTCAGGCATGTATATGCATATAAAACTTTCTACACATTCTTGTTATTGAAAATATCAAACCTAAATTATTTATTCTGAGCAAAACATTTAATTTGTGCTTGTAACATGTGTCAATTTCTGACTGATTTTTGTAATATGCCTGTTCTATTACAATACATCCATAGATCGAGTATGATATCGCTGTATTTGCCACGAACTAAGCCACACTATCGCAGATTGTGCTGTGATACGATATTTAGATGTGTAAATTCCAGTACTTAAGCCTTCGTCGCTGCTGATGCTTTCAAATCGAGCTACACTTGAAATCAATTTTACGGCGATGTATTGGCGTATTCTGCAATTTTTTTCTTATAAACTATAGTCACAATGATTTATTTCATAAATAGTGCAAAAAAGTTGATGCAACCTCCGCGATTTGCTAATAATTGCGAGATATTAACTTGGACCACATATTTTCTAATACAACGCCATATTGATTCTCACCACTTTGGGGCTCCGGAAGTAAATTTGCCCGGCTTCAACTTGTATGTCAGTTGCACTATCTAGTGTATTATTACATCTGTGTGTACATCTCGTAGAGTTTGATGATACCGTTTTCAACTTACTATTGTTCATCAAAATGTCTTTCCGATCATTTTTCTATGTCGATTTGTTTTGTTTCTTCAATGATATACTAAAGACGTAATTTGAAATTATTATGATATTAGCGATGTGAATAACAAAGTGTTGTTAAATAAGTAAATTTGTAGCAATCTTCCATAAACGTCATTGCAGGTGAAATTTTGGTAGCAGTAGTAGGATTCTGTATTCTGGATTCTGTGATTTTGTAATACAAAAGTATTGTTAAGTGGGATGAACCAACTTCCGGCTTCAATTATCCAGTAAAATATACATATCAGTTGCTCTAACACCTCTGTAGGTTTATTATGCAATCAATTTATGTAAATACTAATTACATTTCTTGAATCGTGTGCAATGTTTGTCACGCGCGCGATCTCGCGTGGCTTTCACGTATGTTTTGTCTCAATCTTATATTTTAACAAGGTAGGCAACTCTCAATACAAAACTACCGACCGTTAACACAAGCACTTTCACAAAACCGTAAATGTCTTATAAGTAAGTAAAAAACACGAAAAACAAATAAATGTCATTAATATCGAATAATGTAACTACATTTTTGCAGTTTTTCAACATTCAAATGTATTTCTTTGTATCAGAAAAACACGAATGTTTTTAGGGTTTGAGCATGGCAATATTTTTCAAAACATATACTTTTTGCTCACTTATCTAAACATTCCGCAAATTTTTGAATGTCCAAAGGCGTCGCAGATTTGTTAAAATTTGAAAAATATGCCTTTTGCTCACTGTTTAGTCGAATGTCCCCGCTCTGTCATAACCCTATTTGCATTTGCCGAGCGCCTTTGATTAGAGTACATGTCACGTGACTCTTTTCCTTTCTCAAATCATGGAAGCAGTTGTCCTTAGGATTTCTGAAGAGTTTCAACGAAAAATTGTTTGTCATTGTGTTTGAAAACCGTTTTTGCTGAGACTGCTTTTTTTGCAACTTTTTATTGACGTTTATGCCTGTATGAGATAGTGTTCATGGAACCGATAATTGAAGTCACATGTGACTTGTATCACTGTAATGTAGCCAGTCAGCATGTTCTGATCATTCTATGTAAACTTCAGAACATCATTATCCATTTCTTTACAAGTCTATTGTTTTTACAGTAAGTGAAGACAGAAAAATTAGATTGCAGGACTAAATTTGGTTTCACCACTTAAATCGAATGTAATTATATTCATATGTACAATATCGTAATCTATTTTTGCTATATCTACAACGATTTTATGTGGATTGCAAAACTTAATGTTTGTCCAAAGTGTGCTAAATACATCTATACAAGTACAAAATTCGCTCAACTAATGAGATTTAACCATGATTTTTGCGATCGATTGCAAAGCTAGCGCTTGTATATATTGATATCTTCAGTTGTTTTGTAGGAAGGTCCGATCATGCGCACAAAGTAAAAATATTTTGTTTTTATAGAATTTGTTCATGCTAGCTGCATGCAATCCGAACATACGTATGGAGATCAATGGGATGGATGGAAAACGGTCTGTCGGTCGTCTGCTTTTTGCAGTAAAACATGTAGTTTTATAGTCTGCGCACAGGTAGGTAATGAACAAAAACTGCGAGAAATGCATCCCAAATTTTAGGAAATGGCATTTTAGAGGTTCTTAATAAAAAATTTTCCTTGGAAGAATTTGCCCACGGTCTCCCCAAACACTACTCGCACCTTAGGTTCTCGGCTCAGGCTTTGGGCCCTGTTTTTAAAGTCTATATATTTAGGGCTCATTTTCAGTAGTAGCTGACTGCCTCCCCTACAGTGTTCCTAGCACGCAACTGATCCCACCCCCCATATATTAAAAAAACTATTCAAAATACCTGTTAACCCAACAGAACTTTGTCGAAACAATTAAAATTTGCTCGCAAAGTGTCTTCATTTGACGGCCGCCATACTTTTTCCGTTTCAAAAAATGTGTTAAATTGTACTTTTCTTACATGACATACATCACGGAGAAGCCACTGACTGACTCTTAAGCTTAAGCTTCGTTTAACGGCTCACATATTTCATCTTCTATGGGAAATGTTGCACTTTGCGCCCCAGATTACGTTACGTTGATGTGACTTATATAAATTAATGGCCACGCGGTGAGTTCCTTTCCCATAAACCAATATTAAACGCTCATCCCCATGAATTACTTCCGTTGGCTTTCTCAAGTCTTCATAGTCAGATAAATTGTCATGTTCAAACATCATATGCTAAGTGGCACCAGATTCAATTATCCAATCAAATCTAATCTTTTTTATTTGGGATAAACGCCACCTAATCATTATTTTCTTGATTATCTTTTTTGGCACAATGTGCTGACTTTTTTTCTTCGTAGTGAAAATAAACGATTAAATTGTTATTTCTTCGTAGACAATAGAGTGATTTAGCAAACACGACGTTTCGTCTAAGACGTCGTCAAATATTTGCGAGAGATCTGGGTCTAGGACGCCACCACGTCGTAAAGTATTTATCATTTAGCAAATCTTTTCAAGGACTTCGTAAAATGATAGTATGAAACAAGTTTCATCCATTTCAGCAAAAAATCATCGTGACAGTTTTGATTTATTCCAAGTTCTTCCTTCAAAACCTAATCATTTTTTCGTTGAACGCACTGAATTACGAGATAAAATTATAAAAGATCTTGAAAAATTAAGGAATGATAACAATGATAAACTGACATATTTTTACATCACTGGTAATCCTGGCAGTGGTAAATCACAACTTGCAAGACAGGTTTGTGAAAAATTATCCTGTGATTGGAAAAATAGAACATCGTTTGTAATGACTATCGATGGAAAAAATGAGGAATCTCTTATAAGAACTTACTGTGAACTTGGATACCGTTTAAACTGTGACAAATATATGATTGAAAAATTTGAAAATGAAAACTGTTCCATCACAGACAAAGTGAAGAATTTGCGATCGTTATTATCCACACGATTAAAATTATGGCAAAATTGGTTGATCATTGTAGACAACGTGGTACAGCTTGGAAAAATTTCTTCATTACTTCCCCAAGTTGGTGATCCCATGTGGAGAAATGGACAAATTATAGTAACCATCCAGGACACAGATGCCGTCCCTCAAGACGATGAGTTTAACAAACATATTTCTATCAGAAGTGGAATGAATAATAGGGAATGTTTTCAACTGTTAAAGCATTACACTATTGAACATTCTGATGATCAATTGTTGAATGAAGTATTGCACGCATTAGATCGTCAACCGCTGGCTTTGGTTGCTGCTGGTTGTTATTTCAGTCGTGTAAAAAAAGTCAACTGTTCATTTACTTGGAGTCAATATTTAAAGAAAATATGTTCAGAAGAAGAAGAAAGCATGGACGACATTTTTGTTAAATATAACTCGGTATATCCAAGAAGTATGTTACAAGCTTCACTTTTAGCTGTCAGACAAAATGCTGAAGAATCCTCAATATTGGAAAATGTTATTAACTTTTTTTCTATGATATCGTTTGATCTTATACCACGAGACATTATTGTTTTTTATGTTCAAGAAATTGATCCCAAACACTCAAAGGAAGATATATATCTTTGTTTAAATGACTGCTCATTGTTCTTGCATTCAGAAAATAATGACATTAGTCTACATCGTATTGTTCACAAAGCAGTTATTGTGTATCAATCTGAACATTCAAATGAAGAACATGAAATGGAAACTAACGTTGATCAAATATCCAAAGCACTTTACATGTTTAAAGAGAGAGACGACGAAATCAAATTAATGCCACATCTTGAAAAAATTGTTCAATTATTAAAGACCAACAAGACGAAAATCTACATGAACACTTTACAAGTTTTTCAATATTTTGTTGATAGATTAAGACATTTTGGGAAATACGGTCTTGCTCTTGGATTATTGGATAAATTTAAATCAGAACTATCTAGTTATGACAAAGCTTGGTATTTTAGTACCCTCGGTCTTTTATACCATGACACTGGGAAGTATAGCAAAGCAAAAAATCATCATGAAAAAGCTCTGGAAATTCAAAAACAATCGTTAGGTCCAAATCATGTTGATGTCGCTACGTCTTTAAACAATCTGGGTAATGTGCTTGAAAATACTGGAAACTACGACAAAGCTATAGAGTTTTACGAAAGAGCTCTGGAAATTAGAAAACAATCGTTAGGTCCAAATCATGTTGATGTCGCTACGTCTTTAAACAATCTTGCTAATGTGCTTGAAAATACTGGAAACTACGACAAAGCTATAGAGTTTTACGAAAAAGCTCTGGAAATTCGAAAACAATCGTTAGGTCCAAATCATGTTGATGTCGCTACGTCTTTAAACAATCTTGGTAATGTGCTTGAAAAAACTGGAAACTACGACAAAGCTATAGAGGTTCATGAAAAAGCTCTAGAAATTCGAAAACAATCGTTAGGTCCAAATCATGTTGATGTCGCTCAGTCTTTAAACAATCTTGGTGTGGTGTTTGATGAAACTGGAAACTACGAAAAAGCCGTAGAGTTTTACGAAAAAGCTCTGGAAATTCGAAAACAATCGTTAGGTCCAAATCATGTTGATGTTGCTGATTCTTTCATCAATCTTGGTAATGTGTATTATAAGACTGGAAACTACGACAAAGCTATAAAGTTTTACGAAAAACCTCTAGAAATTCGAAAACAATCGTTAGGTCCAAATCATGTTCATGTCGCTTCGTCTTTATACAATCTTGGTAATGTGCTTGGAAAAACTGGAAACTACGACAAAGCTAAAGAAGTTCACGGAAAAGCTCTGGAAATTCAAAAACAATCTTTAGGTAAGAATTTATACAAATTTCATAGTATAATACAAAAAAATTTGGCCATAATGAATTGAAAGTCCTAGATTTAAATTGTTCATTGACATACAAATAGTTTCATGTGAGGACTGGGTTGTTCATTTTTTTTGTAGACAAACAAAAGAGCCAAAGCAATAATTAAAACGCACTTGTGATTCATATTTACATTAATCAACAAAAAGAATAATTCAAAAATCTACCTATAAACTAAAAACAGATACATAAAACCCACTCTAAAGAACAGTGAGATGGAAACAAAACATTTTAATCAAACAAACATTGCTCAAGATGTATAACAGCTATAAACTCATTGTTAGTTGTAAGACTCACCAAACCCAGCTCAGTGAAAATTATGTACTCAAAAAAATCAGACTGAAAGATTGACAAACATTGGAAATAATTCAGGATGATTTCAAGACAGACATATTTCAGTATGCCTATGCCATTTCAGCATGCCTATGCCCATGCCTATGAAACGAAGCTTTCTTTTCTTTTCCCATCCTTTCGGTTTTGCAAGGACTGGCTTTCACTCGTCTAGTTTTTGCTAGCAGAAAATATGTAGTTTGAAATTATGTCGCCTAGATAATTAAACCCACTTTTCGAGTGTTCTTTTTTGACTTACATTCATACCATGGTTTTTTGTTTTGTTTTTATTTTCGTTTTACAAACATTTGCTGTTTGCTTCATGAAATTTTGGTAAAACACAAGACAATAGACACTCCGTATATAATAAATATTGTTCAATCTAGATAAATAATGTTTTCTATATACAGTGTATATTGCCTTGTATTTTATCAAAATTCTCTTTGGCAGTCGTAATTCATGAAGTTTGTTTATCTATATTTATTGGTAATCTTACCCCTAATGAAAGCTGGTTCATTACGTGAAAATATATTCTGCCCCCGCAATATTTCCTTTTGTAAGGTCATTTTATTACTTAAAAATGTCAGTCATGTAAAACAGTGCGTAATATATGTATATGAAATTTTGGAACTAATGGACAAAACGAAATGAATTATATAGTTTTAAAAAGTTACTATCCAAAACTTTCCAATTTATTTGTGTTATTTCTTTTCGAGCGCTAGCTTTAAATTCATTTTTTTACTTGTTGTTAAAATAGAAATACACAGCTTGTGTGGATAACGCTTTTTTAAATATTGTTCGTAGAAATCACAAGTGGTGATGAGGCTAATGCAAAAGATGTCGGAACTTCTCCTGGTGTTGAAAATACAAAACAAGGTATGCCTTTTAATTATATTTTATTTTATATATATTGCATAACCTAATCATATTTCTTTTGTATTGTATCACAATTCAAGTCATTTGTTTGGTATTTGTGTGTTTTTTTAAAGATTTATATTATTTAATAATATGCATGATGTACGTACCCTTACGAAAATTATCAATAGGATCTTATTAGAATTCCAATAGGAATATAAGATTCCTGTAGGAAATCCTATAGGAAGGCAGAGTGAATTCATTTTTATTCCGATTCCGATAGGAAATATATTAAGAAAATTGCGGCAATTTTAAAGCCTATAGGAATATTTAAATTCCTGTAGGAAATCCTATAGGAAGGCAGAGTGGAATTCATTTTTATTCCGATTCCGATAGGAAATATATTAAGAAAATGGCGGCAATTTTAAAGCCTATAGGAATATTTAAATTCCTGTAGGAAATCCTATAGGAAGGCAGAGTGGAATTCATTTTTATTCCGAATCCGATAGGAAATATATTAAAAAAATGGCGGCAATTTTAAAGCCTATAAGAATATTTGAATTCCTGTAGGAAATCCTATAGGAATCCATAATGGTGATTTGTTTTGCAATTCCGACTGGAAATCCTTTAAAAAAATAGTGGGAATTAAAAACCTTTACGAATATTAAAATTCCTATAGGAATTCTCCTGGAAATGTTATTTGAAAAACATATATAGCAATCGAAATATATAGGGGTATGGAGTTGGTGGTTGTGTAAAAGACAATGATAATGTCATCTCTTGAATCAAAGGCTGCTGATGTTTGAATTCTTTACCAGAATTTAAACAACAGCTTTACGAGCTGACATTGATTAAACTCCTCAAAGCAGAGCAACAAAACATGTCGAAATTAAACAACAGCTTTACGAGCTGACATTGATTAAACTCCTCAAAGCAGAGCAACAAAACATGTCGAAATTTAGTCATTAGATAATGAGTTTTTACAACCATTACGAACACCAACAGCATGCAATTGAAGAGGAATTGATTTTCGATTTCGCCACCATTGAATTAAGTTGTTTGCTTTGTTATAGTTGGTATGCGATTCCTTCAGGGATTCCTATTACAATGTGAAATCTCATAGAAAAGAGAATTCTTATAAGAAGCGCTTTAGAAAATTCACAGGAATTTGCAAACTTATAGAAAAATATATTTTCAAATTCTTACACAAAAGCTATGGGAAAAATGTAAAACAACAAACTCAAATCATCCTTGAATTAGCTAAAAAAAATTATTGTGAGATGAAGTTGGATTTTTTCATTTGTAATAAAAAAATCGTTTTGGGAATGTCTTGTTGACTGTTACGACAGTGAAATGGAATTTACATATTTTTCTGTATGATATGAATAAAACAACACATTCCAAAAGAGCTATAGTACAAATTAATGATTATAAACAATTTAAAACATATGTAGTGGCATGCATTATAAGCAAAGCTTTGTACGATATACAAGAAGTTATCTGTTTTGAGTTACGCGTCATATATACAACATGCAACAAATACTGTGTATCTAAAATATCTGTCCAGTCGAGTATTCTCAAACTTGCAAAAAATGAAAGACAACAGCAATCCTTTCTATTTTGAGTTAATCGCCGTAAAACTTACATGGCAATTCAAAGAAAAAGTCTCGGTTTCGTAGTTTTAAGTGTACGCCTTTGTCTTTAATTTGGTGAGGTTTGAGAGCCACAATTTGGTCTCTGTTTGTACACTCTCTTACGAAATGTGAAGTAACACCACATTCTTTGTTGGAAAATAGCGGTCTTCCTCCACACAAATCAAGTTTTTTCACAATCACAACATAATATACTTCACACTGGCATGCCTGTAATTCAGCAGTGCTGCATTGACAGTCTGGCTGTACACGGTAAAGCCCAACAACGATACCATACTTGGTAGTTGAGTGTCGATTTGCACATAATAATCATGGTGTCTTTGGGATCTTGTATAACTTTCCGAAGTGTATAGCACATGATTTACAATACCACGCTGTGGATAGTATCGAGTTGGGGGACCTCTATTACGGAGAACAGACACAACTTCATGTTCACACCAATCGCACCCGTACTTACCATTAAACTGCTTGCAGTTTCTCAACATTGCACGAGCTGGGCTGTCGCTGGAACATACTAATGCGAAAACTTTGCGAGGTATAATTTCTTCACGTAAAAGAAATCCCTTTTTTTCCAAATCATGGCATTCGTTCACAAATGCTTCAAGAAAAGTGTTCATCTGTGGTTTCGTCGCACCAAACCACAAACCTGTAAGTAGAATATTCTTGGAACGAAGGTGAGGAGGTAACTCGTTTATCATACATTGGATAGGCTAAATAAAGTATTGTGATGACTTAAAAACAGGAATGCCATCTGCATTCCAAGTTAAAGAAATGTCATTTTTCGCCATAGCTTTATCCCTTATCAGGCTCTTATATAGTTTACCCGTAGTTACGTCTGATATAACAGTTGATTCAGTCAAAACTTCCAAATTCCTGTTGGTTAAATATTCTTTTTACCAGAGATTCCTCCACTTGAATTGCTTTGTAGAACTTATACTTGCTGGATGGAAACGTGCTCGGCAAAATCAAACTCAAAATGTCGAGTAGATCAGTCAAAGCTGCATCTGTTAAATTGTTCTCTAATAAAAATGCGACGAGCAGGAGAACACTTTGAGACTTGGTTAGAAGAGCACCAGGATATATTTCTTCATCGCCATTTTCGATGTTTAAAACCTAAATACAAATTCTGAGTGTAAATCGGAATGTAGTAGCTATTATGGGAGGTGGGGAGGAAGTTCATGTTCATATATTCATGTACTATAATCAATAATTAAAATGGATTTCAAAAGAAATTGATAAAATAGAGCACACACAAAAAAGTGAATATTAGCCCTCTTTCCCAATCCTTGATCTTCTGCCTACCCTGGTTCTACGTACTGTATGATGTTTCACATTCACCTGCAGTGCTTCATGTCCAAGGCCATTATTATTAAGCTGGAAATCAACATCAATTTTTCCATTCTCCTGACATGCCTGTGCCTGTGTCTCTTGATCTTGTTGATGAAATTGAATCTAATTTTTAAAATATATGTTCTATTGATTAAAGCGTTAATGAAACAAAATTTTGCCAGACTGTTTTCTAAATACATTACAATAACTATTCAAGCTCATCTAGCATCTTACAAACTATTTTTGTTAAGAAATAAAAGATGTTTAATGTGTTTGCATAGTCTTATCCAATCAAGGAGACCTTTGGGAGAACTCGGGTGCAGATCAGTGCAAGCCCGAGACTGAACGTTGAGGGTTGCACCTGCTCGAAAGTTCTCACAAACGTCTCCGAGGTTTGCATAAGCCGGTGCAAACATGAAAAACATCTTTTATTTCTTTTATAAAATAACAATAATGCGAAACAGAGAAAACGTTCTGATATTCTTTAAACATGTATTCATGATCGACTTGCAAAATCTTTTAGATTGATTGATTGATTTGATTGGTTGAGCGCAGATTGCTTTTCAAAGGCTAATGCAATGCAGCTCTGGACCAATCAGCAGACACGTTTCATTATGTTTATTTTATAATTATCTTTGTTACACTGATATTGAAATTTCTTCATTATGCAAATTTTCTGGTAATGAAACACTTTGCATAACTAACGTTTGATTTGCAAATATTTTGAAGTGCATCAAATTTTCACACTCCTATCTGCCATGTATTGATTATGGTCTTGTACTAGTCAATAAATCTTTTAATTGTGTTGAGAACTGATGCAGTCTAAATATGACTATACAATGTAATGTCACAAGATGATATAGGTATTTGCATAGAAAATGAAGGTAGAAACATCTTTTATACCATTCACTGGCACAAGCTAGCTAACATGAAAATTAAGACATTTTAAGAGGTCAATGAAATGCAGTTTGCAATGCTTTATAAACACTTTGATCATTGTCTGTAATGTTATGTGGCCTCATAGATTGTTGAAAGAGATAATGTATATTTATCAGATATAATGTATATAATGAAAGATATAATGTATGTGTAAGAACACATGCACTTATAGGCTTATACACCATTGATAGACTGACTTGGACAATAGCAATAATAACATCTTTTTTATCTACATGAATTGAGCACACTGTAATACACGCAAGTCGACTTGAAGCACCAAGTTGAAAGCTCAACAAAATGAATAGTGTCAATACAAAGAAATGTCCAATCTAATATCGTTATCTATGTATATTTATTTTAAATCTATTTGCATCCAAATTCAATATTACAATCTGTACAACAAACAAAGTTGCATGACTCGCCATTACATACAATGAGTATCAAAAAATTTAAATCAAAATTTTATAGACAATCATGCATTTCACACATTGTTTTTTAAGGTTATATTTGAATACAGCAAGATAGCAAGGCCCTTTACCTTTCCAGTTAATGAACTCCTCAAATAACAACTTCATGTTAAAATAAAATACAATCATTCTCAAGCATATGATACAACACATGGAAAACCCTCTGTTTAGTTTTAGCTTGATTGAATTTGGTTTTGGTTAATTGGCAGGGAAACTTCATTTTAAATGCACTCAATTGCTAAAAGTGTAAAAATGCAATCTCAACATGCAAATTTTATTTGACAAGTACTTTCGCATCATTTTTGATTGTATGAATTCATTAATAGACATAATTATAACTGGACATTAAAGGAGCTCCTGTTTCTTGCTACAAGTTTACACAAAAGTAAAATTACAAAGCACAATGTCTACTGCAAAATTACCGACAAAAGTTCCATTATTATTTTTTGAAGCACAGATATAAGTGTATCATGAAATACAATTAAAATTAATACTTCAATTACAATGTATTAATGCCAATTATGTTAGGAAAGGCAAGAGGTATGTTACACAAATGTCTGAACATATGCGAATGGAGACACATTTAATTGTATAGTGTGGATAAAGTATGGGATAAAATTTTGAAGCACTAACAAAACAATATTACCAGAAATAATATCTAAATGAAATTTTCCATACCATATCTGATGAAGTTGCTTGATCTATCTCCATCGTAGCACGCAACTGCTTTCGTCGTCTATATTTTGTTCTTCTTGGAAGATCAACAGTGGAATCAACTGCATATCGTCTGTATTGCCCTCTTGAGCCCATACGAAAAGCTTAAATTACAAAACCGCGAATACAAGTTTTATCAAAACGATAAATTTTGACAAATTTTGAAGAATATTCATGACAAACTGCTCACGACGAAAGCAGCAAGCGTTTGTTCAAGTCAGCGGTGAAATTACTACAATTGATATTTACCGCCATTACCACAGTAACATCATTGAGTTCTATAATAACTGGAGCGGCTATCTCAAGCGCGGCCTTAGATATCTGATGACGCCAAAAAAATGGCGGATTTCGTCCTTTGCCGCTGAGATTTACCGAAATTGACCGCTTTTCCGAAAATTTCACAATTTCCCACTCCCTCCTGAGGAAAGAGTGAGGAAAATGTATGTGTGTATTTGGGATTCGGCAAGCAATTTTTTGATGAAAATCAAGGTAAAAACCTTAAATTCATAACAGCGAGTCAACTGTGGTTGTCAGTTATCTGCTCCTACGAGGATGCATTTATAACTATCGACGAAAGACCTATATGTCGGCTACACATGTATGAATGCAGATGTGCGTCGTTTTCTTACCAGCGTCAAACTTGTTTGATCGATTAAACTCTTTAGTCTATACAAAAAAGTATATCATAGTTCATCTCCACGGTTCACGAGAGAGAAGTTAGCTTATTTGTTATCATTGCTATTTTGCTTCTTTTCATGCAATGGGCAATGGCTTTTTTCGCCACAATTGTAGGATTTTTACCTATTTCTTTAAAAAAGTACATATTAAATCTCTGGATATTTACGGATTTTCTGTAATTGACTTTCATATGAAATTTCAAAAAGACTCAAGTCTGCATAGGTTTGGTAAATGAAAACAAACAATATTGTATAGAAATTACTTTAAGTAACCTTTTTGTGATGTTCTGAAGTGCAACTGCATCAAATACTTGTAAAGTTGTAGCACATTTTGATTTTGTTGTATTGATATATGAATTGGGCAAAATGCAAATAATAATCAAAACACTTATGCTTCCAATGGTGTTTATAATTCATTTGTAGTTTTAATACTTCTACCTTTCTTTTCACTTTGTTTTGTTTTTCCTATATTTGCAATAAAAGTGCACTATAATTTGAATGATTAACACAGTTTTCACCTCAATAATAAATTTCATAAGCAGTTGGTTGTGCAATTTGTTCTCTGAGTATCCACATCTGGTGTTTTGTTCATACAAGAATGATGAAGTGCAAGTAGATATGTCATAGCAAGGCAATAAAACCAAATGAATTACATACCTATAGTGTACTTTTATGCTAGAAGCTTAAAAGCTTTTTAGAAATTAGAAAGTTATTGGATTATATTACCTCTATATCATCAATCTCATGACAAGAAATAAGAAGCAAAAAATTTGTAGAAAAGCTTTGAAAAGTGAAAAACTTTTATTTAAAAAAGCAGCAATAATGCATATGATAAATCTCCATTCTGTACTCTAATAGGTAAATAAGCTCACACTGTTTCTTAAAAAAATATAAAAAATATATAAGAAATATAGAGTACAATAACTTTAAAGGTTTCGTCACTGAATCTTTAATGCTTCAGTATAGTGCATTAGATATTAGTAACATTTAAACAACACTCAACTAAAGTATTTTGATAAAGATATGACATGATTTAAACATTAAGTTATATAAAACCCAATGGCTTATACAGTTTGAAGCTTCACATCTGCATCGAGTCATCATCAATCTCAGTACAAATGTTTACATAGACACAAACTTTATGGCCTTCCATTTTACATGTTTGTGAATTGACATTTCATTAAGCATCAAAACACACACAACCTTCTTGCCATCTTTCTTTGGATCATGAACTTTAACTTCAAAGCATTCAAGGCATCCTTAGTGAATCCATTGTCTCCATCCATAGAATTTGACCATGATCAAATTAAATAACTCTGGATAGGGCAGACAATAAATCAATTATCTTTACAGCATTATCATTTTTTAAGATTCTGCCTGGTCAATAACATCTTCCAGTCATCTTTACTCCTTGATCTTCCCTGCATGTTGTCAGCAAATAGAACATAACAATCTCTGCTCCAAATCATGGGTACCGTTGGGGCTGATCATTTCTTTTTGATCCTTCTCACAGAGCAAAATGTGTGCAGGGTCTTTTTGCTTTAGGGAAACTATTTTGCAAATAAATGGGTAAATTTACGATTTCATGCATTAACAAATGACAGAAAAGTATGCAGAATTTTATAAACAAAAACAGGAAAACATCATTATATTTGGAATCAAGTCAGTCTTAAAAAATACGATCTTTAATATGTATTTTATGGCTTTTCAAGAGCATGTATAATTGCTTTTCAATCGTTGACGGACTGACAAAACAAACAACTACCTCACCTGTGAGAAGCGATATGTTCCTTTTTGTGGAAAATACGACATCCAACAATTGAACGATTTAAGTGTTGGCATTATAAAAGAAATGCCAAAAAAGATATCGTCACAGAATATGGAACTAACGATATCCATATTCTGTGATATCGTGGTTGTTTTTGAAAAATTCTTTATAATTTACTATAGACACCAGGGGGAGGTCGAGAATATTATTTTTCTGCAAAGCGATCATTTCAGCGGAAATACGTCCTTTGGCCGCCATTTTTTTGGCGTCCTCGCCCCAGTAAAGTTAGCCGCTCCAGGTATATAGAACTCAATGAGTAACATAAGTGCTGATCTGACATCACCAAGGTGACAAAGCAAATTTCCTTGCCACTCAAGTAATCAAGTTCAAGTTGTTCTCAGCGTTTTGCAGCTCGCTGTTGTGAAAAGGTGACCAAGTGTGAAAGTTAAGAATGAAGTTTGCGATTTTCGATTTTGGAGACAATACTTTTGATATTGGCCAAACATCATGGATACAAGATGAAAATTCTACAACATTTGACAACGAATCCTGGCTCTTTACCCACGAAATAATTGTCAAGTGGCGCATAGACTTCAATGCAGCGAAACGAAAAATGCGGAAAAAAATTGATGTAGATTCAATCAAAACGGAAAGCGAAAGATATCCAGCAAGAATTTTAAAATTTGGAGGTTGGCGTTTGATTTTGATTTTTGAAATGCCACTGCAAAAATATAAATTTAAAACGTATAAATATTTCGAATAATCGTTTCTGTATAAACTAAATTTATAAAAAATGAAAGTGACAATATGGCGGACACTTACTTTTTCAAAAAACATTGCTGGATATATACCATTTTTTGTCATGAGAATGAGTATCTATAATTTCTCTACAAGTTTCGGATTATAAAAACTATAAAAATCGTAAAACTATAAAAGCATTCTACATTTTATTATTAGATGACTTTGACTCCATGGATTCATGCTTAGAGATGTATCTGAAAAGTGGAAAACTTCAACTCCTAAAAGAGGAAAAGGTCAAAGAATCTCACAAAAGAATTATAATTACTATTCCGACTCCGATAAGGAGGATTATGAAGTCCAGTTTGGTTCACATATAAGTAAAAAAGTATGTTTTTATCGTGATTGGAGATTACAATCTTTTTGGTATCACTTTTGGATTCAAGCTTTTGTAGAAACTGCTAAATATTGTACTAAAAAGGCGTTACTGTCTATATGATTGTTTTTATTTAGCCTCCTTCAAAGAAAAGAAAAGTCCAGAAAGATAGTTCAAAGAAAAACTCCTTATATTCCATGGTTAAAGAAAAATATAAACAAACAGAGGTATTCATATGGTATTAATTACTTGATGCTTCATTATTATCAATATGTCCCGAGGAGTAAAAGATCATTGACCGGTTGTTTTTTAAAGGGACATAGCTTAATGTTAAAAACTAACTTAGGGTTTGATTTGTTAACATAGGGTTAGCTAATCCTGTGTTAAAATTTTGTTTTTGAAAGTAGAGTTCAAGCAACGGTCTAACTAACTCTGAGTTAAGACATTTAACCTTGAGTTAAAAAGCGCGCGACTCCAAAAACATCATATAACAATGTGTTCAATCAAATCGACCAATCACAGACGAGAAGCCAGCTGGCAAAAAAGTTGTTTTTCCTTTTTTTATCCATTAAGTACTTTCTCGATAATGGAGCATGGCCATTTTTGGATGTGATTCTTACGTCTATTTACAGCCAACGACAGTTAGAAGTAATGAGTTTTGAAATATTTTCGTGTTTCATAAGCTTTTGTCAATTAATCACAGCTAATGTGCGTTCTTCTCATGTTCAAATATGTTATTTTAGTTAGGCGAGCATTGTATGAGTACTCGTAATGCACTTTTTTGGATAAATTCATACGCTGAGTGAGAATATATATTTAAACATTGAAATAAAATAAGTTAAACAAAAGTATATGTTGTCGCTACTCCTTTCACAGCGCAGGGCAATCTTCTCGGGAATCTTAAGCATTATGATTAATATAAATGTTTTACTGATTTTTTAAAAGTTTGAAACAGTGCAAAATGAAGAAGACAACTTAAACGAGAATCGTTCCGTAAGTATACAAACTTTTTTCAGTTCTTAGCCGTTGACGTTGCCCAGATAAAGTACGTTTTGCTTTCTTATTTAACGTATTCGAGATTTGCCTGGTAAAAGGGTATTGTCATTATAAATGCCCTAAATTATTGTTTCTACAATGCTTTGTTTACAGGACAGTACATCCTTTTTACAGCTAAAATAATCGAAAATCGTTTAAAAGAAGTTTCCGAAGAATGTAGAAACTTAAAGATGCAGACGACAAATTTAGCTGCGTTGATGAATTCTGTGAAAGGTAAATGTTGGATTAGTGACAAGAACTGGCAATGTTTTCAACAATTGAAATGTAAGTTCTTTCATTTTTAGAATTACCCATTATTGTCAAAAGCCTTGAAACTTTAATTAATGAACTCCGGTCAAGCAGTACTCATTCAGTCTCGCCACCTGTCAACACTGATTTACCAAAACACCTGTCCCCTTTATGCCTTAAAAGCTCTTGCGATGCACCTACGATTGAGGAAAATGATAATGCTGGCAACGGAGTGGAAGAGATGGTAAGAATAATGCCTTCTTAGTTAAAATAAAAGTCGTCTATATACGCAATGCCTCAGCACAATTCCGTAAAAAAAAAGGTGTATATCTATAATGTCAAGCAAATATCATTATATGCAGTATTGGAAATTTAAGAATATGAATATAGCTACAGGGTGTATAAAAAAACGGAACAGTTATGAAAACTCTGCTAAAGTTGTAAGTGTGAAAAATTTGCAAAAGCACTTGGTTAAAATAGTAAATAAGACTTTATATCTGAAGGTAAAGTTTTGGTAAATAATTGACTTTTTAGAATAAAAATTGTGTTACCAAAGCTTTTTTGATCTTGCTTTTTGATTACTTAAGCGACAATTTCCTAACTGTTCATTTTTTTTGGTAGCTACACCCGTATAGCAATCAACATATCGGTATTTTTGTGCGTAGTCAGAGACGCCAACTAACAGCACAATTAAAGTCCTTTTGTTTAAGATAGGCATTCCAAAACAATCCAGAAGATGCTTCTTAACTTCTACTGGATCTCACAAATTTATTTTGGATCAACAGGTGGAGAAGCCAACTAGGCGAGCAACTTGGTTGCTGTCTTTCAATTTCTTTTTGCTAGCGGCATTGCAGTTTAAAATTCGACCTGATATGTTTCAGGAAACCATGTTATCATGTTGAAAACTGATGAATTATAGAGTCGTAGTACGTTGTAGACATTATCTTATTCTTGCTAAATTTTCTCTTTTTTCGGAACCTAGAACCTAACTCGTGCATGTGAAGAAAAAATCATAGCTATAGCAAATGGTAAAAGCATTAAATTTAAATGAAAAAAGAAATGACACTCCTTATAAAATAATCAATATTTATTCCAAACGTTATTCATTTCTATTTAATTTTTTTCTATTTGTAATCTTCGAAATGTCCGCATTTTCTACTGATGATGATACCTTGTAACATGTAACACTTGTCAAAACGTTTAGAATAAATATTCTTTACTTTATACGTAGTGTCAATTGTTTCGTGTTTTAGTAAAACACTTTATGGCAATCGTAATTGAAGGGCAATATAACTTTAATCAACACTATGCATTTGAAATTTAAGCCTTCTAAATTTTTTATTAGGTAGCACTGGCTCCTGGTATTAAGATTTTGCCTTCGCAGAGGGATCTTTTGACTTTACAAAGAATTCCAAAGAATTACACGTATGCGTTAATGGACATGATTTGGTCCAGAGATGTGTTGGCAACACATTCCCTAACAGGAAAAACGTCCAATGCTCACAAAGATAAAACACCAAAGCCTTCATTGGATGCTTCAAAAGTTGCTGCACTGTGTGGTAAGTAAAGCTTTTAACCTTTATTTTTTTTCAAGATGTATAATACAGTTTGTTAATACGGTCAGCCTTGAGGATTTTTTGTGGGATGGCTTTATGCAAATTGGAATTAATATAGGTCCTTTAGAAAACTACAACATTTAATAGAATATTTGATGTAGTTACAAGTAAATTTGAGATGAATTGCAGCATGTTTCAAGACATATACCAAAAAACCAATAAAAACTATATGAAACTTTAAATTGTTTCATAGTGTAGTCAAAAAATTAGAGACTATGTACATGATATCACCCGACAGTTTCAAAACAACAAAAAACTAAGTTTGGGGGCGGAAAAGATGAACGCGTCTGCTTACAGAGCTGACAGTTCAATAAAGGTCACTAAAGTAGTTACTACATTTAGAAATCCCCAGGTACCAAGTAGCTACCACATGAGCGCTCGAAACAGTGTTATACGGTCCCGCTCAGTAGCTATAATTTTAATTTGACACTCCACCAGGTATACTCTATGATTTCTAATTTTTTAAATCAGATTTCTGTCTATTTTAGATGTGGTTGTAAAAAAATTTCGATTACCTGACAAAAAAATGGTGAAAGGATTCATAAAGGCAAAGCTAAACAACAGCGAAAGATGTAAAAAATTCAAAAAAAGTGACAACGTACCAGATAACTGATTCTTTTTTATAATTTTATTTTTGATAGTTAATTTTCATGTTTTTTTCTAGTTATACATACATATACGTTATTTGTATTATTGGTAATTTTTGCAATTTTATTAACGTATGCAAGTTTTAAAATTTTTAAGTTCTATTAAATTATTTGAGTTTTCTGTATTATATTTAATGGTCATCTACAGTCATGTGTCTGTTTTTTATGACTTATCAATCCTATGATCCTGTAAGAATTTATAGTCTTTCAGAGAGTCTTATAGAAACTTGTGGGGCAAAACTATGTCATTTAAAATCATGTAGAATTCCCTATGTATGTTTTAAGAACTCCCCATGACAATTAGATTATGTAGCAATTCACGTGAGATTTTATAAAAAATACGATTAGATTCTGTTGTAATCTGTAAGCAATAGTTTAGCCTCTTTACAAATTCTTTTAAGAGTTTTGTGGGAATTTTCGCCGGAGATCTAATACGAATTCTTATAGGAATTCTTGCAGGATGTCTTATTGCAGTTGTTGTAGGAATTTGTATAGGAATTCTTGTAGGAATTCCAATAGGATTCCTTTGTAAGAATTCGTATAGGAATTCTTGTAAGAATTCTTATATGAATTCCTATAGGTTCCTACAGCATGCTACACGTTGTTCCTATAGGCTCATGGGCCAATTTCCAATAGGATCCTATAGGAAGTTTTAATAGGAATTTGGAGATCAGGTAAGAATTCTTATAGCAATAATTTGTGTAGGAAAACTTGTAGGAATTCCAATAGGATTCCTTTGTAAGAATTCTTATAGGAATTCTTATAGGAATTCCTATAGGTTCTTACAGCATCCTATAGATTATTCCTATAGGTTCATGGGCCAATTTCCAATAGGATCCTGTAGAAAGTTTTAATAGGAATTCCTATTGATAATTTTCGTAAGGGATATACAGTGTTGCACTTTCGGACTTCAAACGTTCGTTTATTACGTATATTTAATACTGTATCAATGACTTAAATTTTCCTTTGCGAACGACAAATAATTTAAATGTACTGTGTACCAGACGGCAGTGCTCAGCACAACTTGACAAGTCTTTGTTTATCTCAATAAATCCTGCAGAGCAGCAAAGTGGAGCAACTCTTTTCATAAAGTGCTCAAATTGACTACATTTCATAAGTTGTATTGAAGAGAAAGAATTATAATAAATGGGTTAAACCTTTTAAAATAAATCTTGCATAATGCACACCATACAGGTGGGACCCTACATTTTAGAAGTGTTCAGGTTAGACCAGTTGTTTTAAAAGTGCTCGTGTTTGATTACAATAATTCCTATTTTCTTTGTTAGAGTACAGGAGATTAGTCGGAGTATAACTTTTTTCCAGATAGAAATTATGTTTTTTGCTCCTGGCTTACAGCATGTTAAAACAATTAAAAAAACATCCCGAACCCAAGTTCTAATAAAAAATTTCTTTAAATACAGTCAACCTTTTACATTAACAAATGTTATGAGATATATGAATTTTTTTCATCACATGTCTAAGCAACAGTGAATGGTAACATTAGCGTCTGGTTTAATCTATTTTAACCATGACAGTAAAATCTTGTCACTTCAAAATTTGTACTTGAAGCACATTATCAGTCAGTTAAAATTAAGATGAGACATGAGGTGATAATGACATCATGCAATTTATTTTTTTAAAGAACGTTTATTGTATTCTGCTTGTCTAATCATAAAAACTTCTCAACAAACTATCCTTTCGATATACTGTCATACTTCATGTTTGCACCACCATGCGTACATTACCTAGCTAATGACATTGAAAATTGTGCAAAGAACGGCCGCCATCAATCCGACTTGCTCAATAAACTTCAATAAGTAAGAATTCCTGTTTATTGTAAGTAAAATACCTCAAAATTATTTGGAAAATGGCCAATTTGACGATGTGAATTCCACAATAAAAAGAAGGCTATTTACAATTTTTATTATGACAAATGTAGTATTAAATTGCATATTTGTTAAACGATCTTCTAAATTCTAAATTTACAGACAGTTACAAGTTTTTTTTAAATTTCTCCTTGCTAAGTATAGCAGAGAATACCTCATCAGTGTGAACATCATTCAAAAGTCCACAAGGATCATTTTGTAGCTTAGAATTAAATTTTGAATCCTTTTTACTTAGAATTGCATTTTAAAAGTTGTATAGAGCATAAAAGTTGCTGCATCAATTTTTTTTCTACTAGAAAATTTCCCAAAATAGATAAGCAAATAACGTTACTAATCACAAAACATGAAAACAACGACTTTATTCATTGATTTCAATAAATTACTCCCACTGATCTCAAAATAAATAAATATAATTTTTTGCACTATATTAGAAGAGCACGTGAGTCCATAAATCTCATTTATGATTCAACTATGTCTTAATTGATGATTGTCAACTGGCTTAATGACCTTCATTAAAAAGCGCACGTGAATCAGACCCAGCCACTTACGACTTGAGACACCCGATTGAGCAAGCATAACGCTGCTGCTTAAATATCCCTTACAGAACTCAATGGCTGTGTCATTTTTTCTCAGATATTGTAGCACGGACCACTGTATAGAGGACCGAAACTATTTCTTTTAGAGCGATGGGAGAGGGGGTGTTTAATAACGCTGCTGCTAAAAAATATCGCTTACAGAACTCAACGGCTGTATCATGTTTCCTCAGATATTGTAGCACGGACCACTACATAGAGGACCGAAACTATAACTTATAGTTGGGTGGGAGAGGGGGGTATTCATATCTTCAATTGTGGGGTTTACTAAGCGTCTGCTAGGTAAGCTACTGGGTTTATTAAGCTTTTGCTAAAATAAAGCTTACAGAACACAATGGCTGTATTATGTTTTCTCAGATAATGTAGCACAGACCGCTGTATAGAGGACCGAGAGTAGAAAGTTTTATTGGGTGGGAGAGGGGTGTCTTCATATCTTCAATTGTGGTCGACTGATTTCTTGTGAAATCCAACGTAGTCTACATTAAACATAATACAAAAATAGTTAAACAAAAAGACCAATAAATTGACAGGCACCATATGGAAAAATATAAAATTGATCTGAAAACTTGTTGTGAAAGCTTGGAAATATTTTGCTCAATTGCTCTTTTTAACTTTATTTATAAGAGATCTCCAAAGGACAGTTCTGTTATACGAGAAAATTTTTCATATTAGTAAAACATGATTATGGTAGCCAAAAACAATTGAAATGTTCTGCATCATACATAAAATAGAAAAGTGATGTTACAACATTTGAAGCCGGAAGTTCGATCATTTGCTTGCATCGTTCGTGTGCTTATCTTGTCAATTAATTTATACTTTAGCACTACAACATCATGATTTCTTTCACATGTTTCTAAAACAGATAGGAATTTAAGAAAAGGACTGAAATATATAAGAATTTAAATCGCTTACTTTTTTTGTGGTGTTAAAAATTTATTGAATTGCATGATTCCTTTTCTACCTGAGTAAAAATTTCATCAAACCCGAAATTTTCTGGAAAGCAAAAACCCGGACACAATAGAAACATGACAGACAAATTGTTTTTTGTAAATAAATCATCATAAGCTTAATAAATAATTGAAAACTGCAAAAACCATCTTCAATTTGGCAAAGGTAAAACAATACCAGCATTGTTGCACGAGAATAAGAAAAACAGGAGGTAGGGTTTGAGTTTGAAGACATAAAGATAACGAGGTTCACTTTACCAAGGTGAATAAGAGAAACAGTACGCGTCAGATAACTTGAAGTTAAAGCATAAATGCCTATAAAGTGAACATTTTGCAGCCTGTGTTATACTTTTATTGAACAGAAATTTTAATATGACAACGGAATTTCTCTACTAACTTATGCGTATCTCTATTCGTTCTCAAGATATTGAAGCTTTTATTTTGTTCAATTCATCTAACTTGTGACGTCACGTTGCATAATGAGAACTAGAATTAATTTACTTCAACTTTGCAGAGTTTTTTTTTCTTTGTGATGTGTTAATGATATAACATACTGCCAAATTTTATCAACGTAAAGTTGTCAGGAAAATGAAGTTTATTTAAAACATGGCAGAGACTCATTTTGCATGCAATATGATGTCACAAGTTAGATAAATTGGTAATAGCAAACACTTCACTTCAGTATTTTTAGAATGAAAGAGTCATACATAAAAGGTTTTAGAAAGCATTCATTTCAAAAGTTCTGGTCAATGTAAATATAATTTAACTAGCAAAGTTTTCGTTTCATTGGCACTTTAATGGTGCTCAAACAACGTTTGAGAGAATAATTGTTCAGTTTTCGCTGCTGATCGAACTTCAATGTTCATATTTGGCATCAAACCTTAGATAGTCTATCTAAAAGATGAGTGTCGAGAATGGAAAGAAAAATTAAATGAAGCTTTTTGTTATCTTCTGCTATAAACAAATTTTAGACTCTAAAAATATGCTCTCAAAATTTAAATTTAATATTTTCGAAAAACTTAAGGTTATTTACTAAAAAATATATGAAATTACTGCAGAAAGAAGTTTGTGATTAATTGTATGGTATAAGCTAACCTCAAATGTTGCCTGATTTGATTGTACAATTAAAAACTTATGATTTGTCTAATGGTTGTTGATAAGTTTTTCAAAATGTGCGGTAGCAAATAATATCCTTTACTGATTGGGAAAGTTTAAGCTATTTTGACGTATTTATTTCGTTTCTTTCACCCTTAAATATAATATTTTAACTAAATTTTTTAGAATTGGTGTTGCAAGAGTGGAAATACATTGATGAATCAGCGAAACATAGAGAATTGTTTTTAAAATTGATTGAATATGGACGCAATTCCGGTGTTGAGGTTAAAGAGGTGGGCAATGTACGAGTAATTTTCTCAAAAGAGTTTTGCATTGGTGAAGGAAGTGGTGCAACCCGTGTTTATCTTGGACTGGGTAAGGATGGTTACGGTAAAGCAGTGAAACGAATACATCAAGATAGATACAAAGAGCTTGCGCTGCAGGAAAAGGAAATTTTAAATCAATTCAACGCAAAGAAATCGAAATATGTTGTGAATTATTCCTTCTTAGAAGAAGATACTAGAACGGAGTATGTCTATTTAATATTAGACTTATGTGAAGAGTCGTTGGAGAGTTATGTGAAATCTATTTGGAAGATCTTCAAAAAGTTCTTCCCAAAATTCTCAGACAAATTTTGCGAGGATTAGCTGATCTCCATAGTGGCGAAAATCCTATTGTTCATCGGGACTTAAAGCCCAGCAATGTTCTCCGAGACACACAAGGCAACTTTCTGATAGCTGACTTTGGCATTAGTCGAATATTGAAGAAAGGTTCTACAACACATAATAGCAGTCCTAACAAAGGAACGGAGTATTGGATTGCTCCTGAATCATATATAGAAGATGAAGATTCATTTGATAAAGCGCGTTACAAAAGAAGTTCTGATGTATATGTAAGTGTAGAAATGTAAACATTTGTAAGTTGTAAAGAAACTCGATGTTGTCAAATTGCATTTTGATGTAACGCTTTTTGTTATTTTAGAATGCAGGGATGGTAGCTTATTATGTTGCAACAAAGGGAAACATCCTTTGGAATTCAACGGTATAGACTGGACAACATGCTAAATGGAAACCCTGTTGGTTTGAAAGAAATCAAAGATGAAACACTAAAGGACCTTCTGTCGTGGATGTTAAATCTAAAACCTGAGAACAGACCATCGGCTAGCGAAGCATTAAAACATCCATTTCTTATATCGGATCACGAGAAATTTGATTTATTATGTAATGTTGGAAATCCTCAGAATTAAGACAAATGATCCCTGTGTAGTGCCGTTCAACAATTGAATAGCGAATCCTCAGATTGGAGAAGCCAAATGGATATTGATGTTTATATTTATTTGGTTATTTGGTGAATGAAGGACCTATAACTCTTCATGGACAGATTGCTTATGACTTATTCGAAATATTGACCTGCATTGGAAGGAACTAACAAAACGAAAACGAAAACCATTTTATAAGATTGGCGATTACAAGGCGTTTTTCTCCGAACATTTCCTAATCTCTCTGTTCGGGTAAATGCTGCTGTCAGGTCAAATGAAGAATTGAAAAACAAAGCAGAACTTAAGAACTTTTTTAATTTTAATAAAAGTGAACCACATCAATAAGCAATTTAGATACAACAGAACCTGTTGTGGGTAAAAAGTAGCTATTAAGAAATCATTGATACTGTAGAGATCTTATTTGATAATTATTAAGAAAAACAGATTCCACGACGTATTTATATGATATTTCACCCCGTTGCTGATGAATCTATAGCCTGTGAAATTCATTGATGCAATGTATATATTTAATTTTTACTGTAAATTGTTTTGGAAAAGACTGAAGGCGAATACGACATTAAAAGTTAACTTTTATGCTTGGCTGCACTGATAAATTTTGCTCTACATTCATCCAACATAATAAACTCTTATACGATAAAAAATTGTATTTCTGAAATTATTATAATTACTAAAAGTCTGGCCTTGGTGTTTTGGGCTCTTGGGAGTTCCTTATTATATAAAACTGACCATCAGAAGTTGTGCATAAATCCATAAATAGAATCTTTTGTGTTTTACTATCTCACATTAATTACGTAGCTGATCAATTTAAAATAGTTGAAGTAAATAACATTTTCATAAAATTGAGTGATTGACAGCATTTCGTCTAATAATTTGTATATGGACTCAATATTATTTTAATTAGTTGTATAGAAAAATAATCATAGTTGTCATCACTTTCTGATATTTTGCTTATTTCATGCGCTGTAACTCTGACACTTATTTCGTGCCTAAATCCATACAACTAAAATACAAGTGCTATATATTTAAGATTTCTTAAATTAATATTGAATATACACCTAAATACACGCAAGGTTAACTACGGCGCTCTCTATTGCCTATATTCTAAAAACTCTCTCACACTCACATTGACTGAGTAAAGTTTCAAAGTAATCTTATAACTGCTGGAAGACCTTGTATTTACTCCACAGATAGAAAATAGTGCAAAATTTTATGTTGATTTTATCAGCTCAGATCCCATATCATCTGGTAGGTATTCGCACATTAATGTCACATGAAAGCACTCAGTAATAGTTGTGTGACAGATTTAGTTGAAAGTTTTGTAAATCATTTATATAAATTTTGAGCTTTTGGGCTTTATTTTATTGAATTAACTTCGCAAAGAGCAAACTATAACAACAAAAGAACGTGAATAACTTCTAAATGACAAAGAACAATGCTACAGCTTTTTCCAGTTACTGCAGCCTTTTAAACACAACGTTGCAAACATTAAAAACAACACGATTTATATAATGTATAATAAGTGCGAAGGTTTTCTTGAATTGACTAAGGCTGACATTTTGCCTCTTAAGTTGTTTGGATTTATTCCAGAGTTTACTGCATCGATGTATTTAAGATTTTAGAAACGTTCTTATTTTACAATGAGTTGAAACATATGACAGCTAGATTTTCTGAATTGTACAACCATGTTTGACTTTGGCAACGAGGATTGCCTTGTAATAGTAACTAATCTTCATCAATCTTCACAAGACTATAAATTATTTTGTATTCGTTTACTGAGCAATTAGTATGCTTTTTTAAAGGGCCTATGACACGAAAATTTTTATGTTTGCAATGACAGTGTACTTTCTAAAAAAGTTTATGCAATCACTTTTAATTCTTGAGATATTGAGGTTTATGCTATGTCCGATTTATCTACCTTGTGACGTCACATTGAATTATGAGAGCTAGGAGTATTAAGTATATTTAACGATACTTTACTTCCCAAGGACATAGTTTTATTTCTTGTGACGTGTTTGATGGTATAAAATGCTGCCTATTAGTATCAACCTAAAGTTGTCAGGAAAATGAAGATTATTTGAAACATTTTTAGAACTCATTATGCAATATGACGTCACAAGTTGCATGAAATAGAAATAACAAAAACTTCAATATCTCGCGAAAGAAAGGAGATATGCATAAACTGTTTTAGAAAGTACAATGCCATTTCAAACGTTCTCGTGATTGCATACATAAAAATTTTCATGTCAAGAGTAGTTGTACATTTCCAAGTATAACATCGAGCTGAATTGTAAGGGATATTCTATACCACTTAGTAAAAATGTATGCTTTATAACTTATGAAGCAGTAGATAAGTCTGATAAACCACCTGCTGAAATCCACCAGCTAGAGGATCACAGTTCACTTGAGGGAAACGAGTGTAAATTATTATCCCATTTACCCCCAAAATTGGATGGAAGTGTCAATAACCATTATGAACATTTTTAGAAAGCCAAAATTTAATTTAATCAAATTGAAGCATTTGTATTTTCACTTTCTACACATAAACTACGGAAAAAGAAGAAAATCATCTTCTTTACTTTTAAGACTTCTTCCGAGTGAATGAATTTCAAAAAAATTCGTTTTAAGACTAGACAACATACATTTGCCAATAAAATTATAACCAAGAACAGTATTTTATAGCCATAAATGCCTTTCCTATTACAATGTACAATTTGAGATGTTTACGTCAGGACTTACTTAAAAATATCAACTATAATATGGGCATATCTGACACAAGAACAGTGTATTGGGAATCGAACCCAAAAACTAAGCTGTACCGCTCAAAAAAGATGTGTGACATTTTGGGTAAATTAAAGCAGCTTAGAATAAATTAAACAGATCATAGATTTATTCAATAATTAAGAAATTTTATCTTCCGAAGATTGTCAGACGGTCAAAAATGGTTTGTGTTCACGTTAACTTTATCGGGAGCACGTACTCTAAACAACTTCTTTTACAAAATGAATTCTCTCTTTAGTTTTGATGGTTGTATATAACATGAAGTACCACTATAGTCCCTTACCAAAGTTACTGTTTTTTTAGACTTTACCGAAATAAAAAATCCCTAATGGAAAAACCTGAACGGTATAAACCAAGACCAAACACAAAGTCACATTAACTTGGAGAATACTGAACAGGAAAAAACCACTAGGGACTTTAGCCGAAATTCCGCGCCCCGGGGGAACCTTTACAAACAATAAACTTTACATACCTTTGAAGCGATTCAAAGAGCCAAAAAAGTAAAAGAGAAAGAATGAAATGCACTTTCAAGGCTGAAAATATTGACTTCCAGGTATGTAGTCATTTTTGTAAAATTCTCTATTTTTAACGAACACGGAATTCGCCACAGTTTACCGACACACAAATCTATCATTGAACTAGACAATTTTCTACTTTGAACGAGAAAATTGTTTTGATGGAATTTTGTAAAACGTGTGCTTTTAACATCTAATCCATATCCAAGTCGTACCTAGCGCCACTTAATTATTTTGCACCGTTTTCATTCGGTGCTACCAACGTTTAAAATATTAGAACCAGCATTTGCTGCATGATATGGATAAGATGAAAGTACTTCAAGTATTTTATAGAGCCGAATGGGGTTCACTTGTGCAAACAATCATTTTGGAAAAATGTAGTCAATATCAAAAAACAATATCAACATTAATTACTTGAAGAAGCACCCGTTGAGTTTGGTTACCGAGGAACTGGGGATGGTTTAACCAAACAACCGTTTGACGATTATCCTTCGTACTTGACTTTGATAGCAACTTGATTGGCGAACATGGAAACCTTAGTTACTACGAAGTAAAATATGTGACAACGTCTGCGACTTGTCTTCACACTAATCATTAAAGTATACAAACAAGACACTTTTATTAAAACTATGTTTCCTTTTAGGTTCTTTATGAAGGCATTTTGCATACCATTACCTGGTCTACTAATCATTTACTTTTTGCTCGTTTCCGCTGTGAAAAAAGTATTGAAATTCCCAGGAAAGAAGTCTGCTTTAAAAGAAGACAACATACCACTTTTCACATTTACAATAATTACTGCCACGCCGCCACTAAACTGTAAATGTCTTAAACAAACAGAATACTTTTTAAGTTTCGTATGAAAATGACCGACAGAAGAATTGGAAGTTTCTTCCAAACATTTTTATTCAGCAATTTCTCTCTAAACTGGAGTTTGTCATTTAAATTAATAAAGGTACTAACTCTACTTTGGTTATCTGAGCATAGCAACTACTCGCGTCAACTACAGCGCATGCCTGAGCTATCTAAACTTTCTACCTGCTCATGACACCAGAATTCCGCCCTGAAAAGAAGTGCCTCTTGAAGGAGGTAACCCATAATGCCCTTAACGTAACTTAACTTAGTGCATGTAGCACTTACGGGTGACCTCCAACCGGGGTGGGTTGAACTACTCATGCATTATAGAGGATCCAAGAGGGCCTTAATAGTCGCTGTAGAAAGCCGTTCATGAAATTGGTTAACTACCAGGACTGCATGCTTTTACCGTACTAGGAGAAAGATATATTTTTACTTTACACCAGAACCAACATCTTTTCTTTGTCTTCAATAGGTCTTGTTCGCTAGATCCAGTCTTCTAGGGTCTTCTTACAGATGCTATTTGCATCCTCTACGCTAAAGTACCATTTGTACCCACTAATCCAAGTAGAAGTTGTTATGTTTATTAATTTATGTTAATTTAATAGGATTTACGTTATTAGTTATGTTAATGGTTATAAAGCTTAAATATATAAAAGGAGTTAACTTGTACTATCTAGGCAGTGGTAAAATACACCTAAATGAAATATCAAACACTACAGTTGGCGACAAAGATTCGATTCTGATGGACGAAGAAGCCCAAAGTACACAGACAAATGTTGGTTTTAATGTGCCCTTTATGGGACATATGGAAGAATATTCAACGAGTACAGATTGGAAGCAGTACGTTGAGCGGCTTGAAATATTCTTCGAAGTAAATAATGTACCAAGAGAAAAGCAAGCCTCGAGCATACTTACCTTGATGGGTAGTAAGATGTATGCGTTGTTAAGATCAATTACAGCACCAAGAAGACCAAAAGAACTTACATATAACCAAATTGTAGAAACTTTAACACAACATCTTGAGCCAAAACCAATAGTTATTGCTGAACGATATAAGTTCCACAAGGCTGAGCAAGGACAAGCGGAATCGATTAGGGAATATCTTGCCAAATTGCAGAGATTAGCAGAAACATGTGAATTTGGGAGTTATCGAGACGAAGCAATTCGAGATCGATTTGTTTGTGGATTGCGAGATCGATCGATTCAACGTAAGCTACTAGGCGAAGTTGATTTGACTTTAAAGTCTGCGGTAGAAAAAGCTTGTGCGGCTGAATTAACGGAGAGAGAAACATCAGCGTTACACGGAGATTTACTGAACCGAGTGCAAACAGCATCCCTCGAGTGTTTTCGCTGTGGTAAGAAAAATCATTCTCCCGATAAGTGTTATTTTCGGAAGTCCAAATGTCACGGTTGTCAAAATTACGGACATATATTGAAGAAGTGTCCCAGGAGAGATGGCAACAACATGAAGAATACAAAAAGTGAAAAGTCGAGAAGGGAAGATGCTAAGAAAAGAAAAAAAAATCCAGCGAAATTCACAACGTTAAAACACATAGCAACGTTGATAGTGACAGCGAAAGCCAAGAAGAAGATATGAAAACATAGCCGGTGTTCACATTAACTGATTCGAGAAAGAAATGTAAAGAGATGGAAGTATTAGTCCTATTGGATGGAAAGTCAGTAAAGATGGAAGTAGACACGGAGCTGCGGTATCAATTATGCCAGAAAATGTGTGGAGAAAGGTGTTGTCTGCAAAATGCATACGCAAGTCCAACGTTAGACTGCAAAGTTATTCTGGGGATGAAGTTCCAGTGAGGGGAGAAGTAGACGTTTGCGTTGAACATGGAAAACAAAAAGCTAAGTTACCAATTGTAATAACACAAAATAAAGGTCCTGTGTTGTTGGGACGAAATTGGCTGGCAGTTTTAAAGCTTAACTGGAGTCAAATAAAACAAGTAGAGGCAAAACCTGTCAAAAATGTGGAGCAATTAATAATTCAATATGCGTCCTTAGTTGACAATTCGTTGGGGACAGTAAAAGGAGTTAAGGCACATTTATACATGAAACCAAACTAAAATCCAAAGTTTTTTAAACCTAGATCAATCCCGTTTGCGCTGAAAGACAAGGTAAAGGAAGAAATCTACCGTTTAGAGAAACTTGGGGTCATGGAAAAGGTAGAGTTTTCAGATTGGGCGACGCCAATCGTGCCAGTGTTGAAACCTGATGGTAGTGTACGGATTTGTGGCGATTATAAAGTGACCATTAACCAAAGTCTAGACGTTCAAGAATATCCAATGCCGACAGCTGAAGAACTATTTACAAAGCTACGAGGAGGCGAGAAATTTTCAAAGATAGATCTGTCGGCAGCATATCAGCAAGTTGTTTTGGACGAAGAATCACAACATTATGTTACAATAACACACATTTGGGTTTGTATAGGTATACAAGACTGCCATTTGGAGTTGCAGCTAGCCCAGCTATTTTTCAAAGAACGATGGATATGGTTTTGAATGGTTTACAGGGAGTAGGAGGTATACTTGATGATTTGATAATTACGGGTAAAATGATGAAGAACATTTGCGGAATCTGGAGAGAGCACTGAAACGTCTTCAAAATATGGGAATCAAATTGAAGAAATCAAAGTGCATTTTTATGCAACCTTCAGTGGAATATTTCGCATTTGTCGTGGATCGACAAGGAATCCATCCATCGCCTCGTAAATTCAAGCTATAAGGGAGGTACCAACTCCGGAAAATCCAACAGAATTGAAGTCATTTCTGGGGCTAGTGAACTATTATCGTAAGTTTATTCCAAATATGGCAAAGTTGGTTAATCCTCTGAATTGTTTACTGTCACAAGAAGTTACTTGGAAATGGTCGGAAGAATGTCAGAAATCCTTTGAGACTTTAAAAGTCCTATTGGAAACGGCACCAGTATTAACACATTACGACCCCAAGAAACCCGTGAGATTAGCGACAGATGCCTCATCGTGTGGAATAGGTGCTGTTCTATCAAATGTATCGGACGAAGGAGAAGAACAACCAATAGCTTATGCCTCGAGAACACTTTCTTCTAGTGAGCAAAACTATTCTATGATCGAGAAAGAGGCCCTTGCAATTATTTTTGGATTGAAGAAGTTTCATCAGTATGAGTATGGAAGACGTTTTTCTTTAATCACAGATCATAAGCCGCTTACTATGATACTGGGACCTAAACGAGGTGTTCCTGTCTTGGCAGTCTCCCGCTTGCAGAGATGGGCGATTCAACTGGGTGCATATCAGTATGATATTGAATACCGAACTTCAAAGAACAGTGCGAATGTTGATGCGTTGTCCCGGTTACCTAGGAAAAGTGTTGAAGAACCGGACGAATGGGAGGAAGAGGCAGCGGCAGTAAACAGCGTTCAACTGAAGCGGTCACCTGTTTCAGTAAGTATGATTAGAGAAGCTACGCAAAAAGATTCAGTATTGTCTCGTGTAGTATACTATCTGTTACATGGTTGGCCAGAAGGAAAGTTACCAGAGGAACTACAATATTTCTTTACAAAGCAAGACGAGTTTACTGTAGAAGAAGGATGCCTATTGAGAGGAACCCGAGTGGTAATTCCAACCAAATATCAAGGAGTGGTGTTGTCGGAGTTGCATATAAATCATCCAGGAATGGTGCGGATGAAATCTTTAGCACGTTTACATGTGTGGTGGTCAACATTAGACCAAGACATTGAACAGACTGTGAGAGATTGCACCAGTTGTCAATTTAATCGCTGTAAGTCTCCACTTAAAGTAAATAATCCATGGATTTGGCCTGTACGTCCATGGCAAAGAATTCATGTCGACTTTGCAGGTCCAGTCGAGGGTGGCATGTATTTAATAGTGGTAGATGCTAAGTCTAAATGGATGGAGGTTATATCTATGTCATCAACAATGGTCCACAATTTGTTGCGCAGAAAATGAAAGATTTTCTAAAAGGCAATGGAATTCAAATGCACTTATCTTCACCGTACCACCCTACTTCAAATGGGGAAGCGGAAAGAGCAGTGAGAACATTTAAAGACTCCATGAAGATTCGTAAGAATGAAGAAGGATCTACTGGAGAGAAATTAGCAAGATTTTTGTTAGGATATCGTACCACACCACATACAGCAACTGGATGTACACCTGCAGAAATTCTTATGGGTCGACGACTTAGAACAAGATTAGATATATTGCATCCCAGTCTGGCAAATAAAATGGATAAGAAATCACATCAATTACCGAAATTGACAAAGCGTAAGTTAGAAATTGGAGATCCAGTGATGGTAAAAGATTATAGAGCAAGAAGAGATCGTTGGATACAGGGAGTAATTCAAATGAAGTTAAGCCCAGTTACATATCAAGTGTTGGTGGACGATGTATTGTGGAAACGACATATTGATCAATTGCGAAGTCTGGCAGGATCAACAGTTCCAGATGGTAAGACAAAACAAGATGCTGAGAAATATCCCTCCAACTTGGAGACACAAAAAAGTCTGGTGCTCGATGAAAATACAGTGTCTAAACATATCAACCAAGAGATATTCAAAGAACCAACTGTAAGTACCACAACGACCTTGAAAACCACGCCTCTACCGCAGGTACAGACCTTACCTGACAAGATAACCAAAGAGCCCGGTAGTTGTAATGACAGTGAACAGGTATCAAACAATCGCCGGTATCCTCTGCGTAATCGCACGAAACCAAAACGTTTAATTGATGAAATATAGTTTATTTTGATAGATTGTAATCAATCCCGAACTTTTAGGAAAATAACACTACAAGTTAGCTAAAGAACTATTAGAATTGTGCCGGAGGGAATGTTATGTTTATTAATTTATGTTAATTTAATAGGATTTACGTTATTAGTTATGTTAATTGTTATAAAGCTTAAATATATAAAAAGGAGTTAACTTGTACTATCTAGGCAGTGGTAAAATACACCTAAATGAAATATCAAACACGACAGAAGTTGCCATTCTTTGGCTAAGCTTCACTTGCATTTCCGATCTAAGCTACATAATCCTAAATATTCTTCTGCAAGGAAACGTCCGCGGCAAACATACGTAGCTACTTAATGCAGTATATTCAGAAAGAGGTTTCCGAAGATAAATCGAGTAAAACCGACACAAATGCATGTCAATAACAGGCTAATAACCGCTGATACAACTTCACGTTTACTAATTAAGACACAGATTTTAATAATGAGCTCCAGACACAAATAATTTTAGGAGTTAAACTGAAAAAAACTTTTAAAACCTCGTCATGAAGACTATTTTTGAAATGATGGGAGAAAACTACTATTAAAATTTGTATTTAATTTTATACGCATCACTTTCCTTACAGTTATGCGAGTCCATCATCGTGGTGAATAAAAACCACAAACATCGATGTTTTTCAACCTTATTTGAATACGATTTTGTCTTTAACAGAGAAATATTCATGTCTAAAATCGAGAATGGAACGAAAATTAGTTTCTAAATCTAAGGTCTCATACTTTACATGAATAAAGATCACAGTGTCGTTTACATTTACCACTTCAATAGAAGAAAGATACTCTGTTAAAACCAACAATTATCACACACATTTACCTCAATGAAGGTGGTTTCAATAAACTCAAGGTGTATTTCACAGACAAAGCGTTTTGACTTTTTTTATCGTTTCTTTCTGCACGTACTGTTGTACAGAGTCATATGGCACGTTCTCAGGATGAGTTAGTTTTAAAATATGTCACAAGTTGCTTAAACTAATATCTTCTGATTGGTCAGTTCCTAGGTATGTTGTCTTCTGATTGGTCAGTACCTAGGTATGTTGTCTTTTGATTGGGTAGTTTCTAGGTGTGTTGTTAATTGCATTTCGCAATTCTTATTGCACTTCTAGCAACGGTATACCGGGCTTATCAAAGGGAACACCTTCATGACCACGATTCTAATCCTGCTGGTGCCTAAATTCTGTTCCTGGTCAAGAAGTTACATTCAATTTCAAGGACAGAAAAGCTTTCATGTTAATACCTGAGTTATGCAATACATGAACGTATAGCTTGCAATTCTTTATGAGCCCATGGGCTTAGCAATAGCATAATGAGAGCATTGAAAGAATCACAATAGGTCAATTTATGAAGGTCTTACTTTTTCTACGTCCTGTAAAATTAGCTTTATAATTAGCATTCATTGGTACTTTTCATTCTCGTATATTTCATATAGGAGGAAAACTCGTAGAGTTAGTATAATTTAAACAATTGCTGGCAAGACTACAGTTTAACGGACACCCGAAGCGCTTGTATGGGGAGCGTGGGCTCGTTTTTGCTTAGGATTATGAGGGTAGGGTTTGGGTCAGCGTCCAAGGTGTCCGCTAAACTGCAGTAACCCCAATTGTTAAATAATTGTTTAATACGTTGTCTACAGGCTGTATCACAAAACTGCAATGTTATAATTTGTATAAAGGAAATTAAACAATAGAATTTAAATGGCTATGCCTTTAAGTCATACGCTAAGCGATTTGTAATTGAACAAATTATAATTCACTTTGTAAAGGTTAGAGAAGGATCACGTGTGTTCTATGGAATTAAGAGTCTCGAGCATTAGATAGAAATTCCCGAAAATTATATAGGAATTTTTATTTAATGCGAGGGTATCTCAATCCCATAGGACACAACTGATTATGCACTAAGCGTCTTAGAACATGGCCAAAGTCACGAAGGATTCTATTATAGTACTAAATTTGTCCCATGCATGTTTTCAAACAAGTGATTATTAGTTTGCAAAAATTGTTTTTTGGTGTAAAACCTTTTTTTACTAGCAAGATAAGCATAATTATAAGGACCATCAAAACAAAAGAGAATACAAAAGAAGGCAATGAAGCAACTGACACATATGACACATGCATCAGCATAAGCACAGCAACTTGACGTAAGCATAAGTGAAAACAAAGTGAAAAGAAAATCCTTTTTTTATTTCCTTCAATCTCTAGAGAATATGCTTTGCTTTGTTTAATCGCTTGTGCTTATGTCGCTAGTGAAAACTAGGCTTAAAGCTAATTAAATGCAAAAATTAGGTAGCATTTAATGTCTTTAAGTAGTTCTAAGTTTTCTAAAATTGCTAAGATTTTTGTTTTCGTGCAATGTATGAGCATACAATTTACATTGTATGCTCATACACAGAGCTACAAAAGGCCAAGTTTTTTGATTATGTCAGTTTCAAAATCACTTTCTTCGGTTGATGTTTACATTAGAAAAATAAGAAGAAAGAAGCATGTGTTAGTACGGCGAATACACGACATACTTTAGAAGTTATTGAACACGTGGAAACACGTATGTTGTTTCAGTTTAAGCAATACACATGTGTTTTCTTTTAAATTTGTGAGCAATTATTTTCTAATTCGTTCGTAAGATTTATTTTAGCTTTAAATTTGTGCACAAGAATACATTTACATCATCGAAATGCATTTGAAGCGAGTTAAAATACATCTCATTGTTAATTGTTCTGGTATGTAATGTAGAGTTACGACAATCATTAATATTCTTTACACTCTTTAGTATTTGCTGTTTAGAGAATACAAGTTAGAAAATGAACAATAAAAAACAATATCTCGTTAGTATTCTCTACATAGAGAATACTTATAAGAAATGGAGAATACCAATGAAGTATTGTATTCCATTGTTTTACTCCAACGCCAACATGTAAGCCATTGCAATTCTAATGTATGAACTTGTGCGTGTACAAACTATGGTTTTGCAGTCTTTTAGAGGAATTTTATCTCATTTTCTTTTGTCTTTAATGCATTCGGCGCATATAAAGTTCAACGTTTGAAAATGGCAATGAAATAATCACTAAGAAGTTGATTATGCCTTAACGTTCATTCTGTGAAAATAAGCATGACCGGAAAAACTTTTTTCCGTTTACAAAGACTAATTAATGATTGAAAATTAAATCTTTTTTTCTCTTTCTGCATATTTATTTGCTCAATTCACATGGTTTGTTCACTTCGGTGACTGTATTTTTTAATCTTTTGTCAACGCTTGGTTTTGTTTGACACCTGCTGAGCTGAGCATTTCCATTTAAACGAAAGCTGTTTTTGTAGGATTTCATGTTTCTCACGCATGAGTTTGGGGACCTAAGATTAAAGATGGGGTGGGTGCATGCACGTGGGGATAAAACATTCGTATTCGGCAAGATCGAATGCCTAAACTATGTTTATAATACTGCACTAAATTTTCACTTGTAACATAGCATAAATATATTGTCTAATTTATCATATAGCTAGTTCCTGTAATTAGTATAGTGTAGAACACAAGTTTTTAGCCTGTGTTTTTACGACTTTTAAGTTTTAGCCTGCTACAGCTACCACAACCTTTGAAAAATACTTTCCCATTTACAAACACCTACAAAATACTAACGGAAAATTCCAACACTCACTTTGTGTTTGACAATCTTAGATGATGAAAATACCTCTAGCTCAAGTTAGCTATCTACACAATAAACGCAAACACAACTAGACCTGAACAAGTTGTAAATAATTTACTCCTTTTACGGTTATAATGCATGTAGGGAGGTATAAAGATTACAACTGTAACCAATATGCAACAAAGGGTTACATTAAAGCAAATTTATGGGTAAAACTCTCATCATTTTATTATGATACATGCTAAAGACATGGGCTTAGAGAGATTGATAATCAAAAGGTGGGTATGATTTTCACATATTCATGTCATATAATTCGTTAAAAACAATGAATGTCAAAAGAATTCAAGACAACAAATTATGCATATATGAATATGAACCGCCCAATTTACATTTGACCTAACTGTTGCTTTTCTGGAAAATATCCTTAACATATGATTTCTAAGAACAATCAAAAATTACAATTTCTAAGAATAATCAAAAATTAGAATTTCGAAGAACAATGAAAAATTACTATTTAATGATTACATTATGCACAAAAGCATACTGGTATAAGATAAATGTCCAAAGAAAACTATTTTCTTAAAAATCATTTTGTGAGAGCCATTGCTGTCTCCATCATTTGAATAATGATGATTTATACGTTGTATTTACAAGTACACTTAATCTCAGGTAAGGTCAATTATCATTTAGTTCAGCAATGACTTAATTGTTCTATGTTAACAGAACGTTTCCCAATCATTGCTTCCGCTGGCAATACCTGCAAAATTCAAACGTTAATGAGACTTGTTGAAGAATCAAGATGTAGTGTCGTTCAGTAGAGGACGGTTACAACAGTTACAGCAATTATATCTCCAGTTTAAAATACTTTGCAGCTAACCCTGTTTGAGCTATTTTGGTTCTTATTTTAAATTTTGTGTTATCTTTACGATTATCTAGGTGTTGGCACGTATCTTTTTCATTACGGCTTATGATTGATTCCAAGTACAATGGAGTACAATACGAAATAGAAATAATAAAGATCGAGTAGTTTATTGTTATCGCAAGTACACAATCGGAGAATACACTCATATTATATTATATAGTTACCACATTATTTAGGGGCTGCAAGTACAATACTTCAAAACACAACAAATGTTATTTTCAGTGATATCTGCAGGGAATTTGTTAGCTGGAATTCAAATGATAAACGCCAATAGCGCACATGTGTCAAGCTTACGTACGTTACGTATTGTAAATTATTAATCGATTATAGAATGTTCTTCACCTTTCTAAATTTCGCCCATTTCATTTGTTTCCTCGTGGTATTCATCAGTTACTCTCATAACTGCCTCCCACCAAAGATTACCATTAAGAGTAAATGTGCGACCAGTGGCTTTCTCGTATCGGAAGATATGAGGTGTATACGGTTTCGACCAGGTATTTGTAAAACGGTCGTACTTCATGACGTCGCCCCAAAATGGACGCATAACTTTAAATCTCACTTCGACATTTGTTGCGCTTGCAGAAATATTCACTCTCTCCATCACCACTTACTTCTTCTGTGACTTTTCTTTC